CCAGGTTCAATCCCCAGCATCTCCAGTTAAAAGGACCAGGTAGGAGGTGAAGGGAAAGACCTCCGCCTGAGACCCTGGAGAGCCACTCCCATTCTGAGTAGACAAGACTGACCTAGATGGACCCATTCAGTATAAGGTTTGGTGTAGTGGTTAAGTGTGCGGACTCTAATCTGGGAGAACCGGGTTTGATTCCCCACTCCTCCACTTGCACCTGCTGATGTGACCTTGGGTCAGTCACAAGCTCTGGCACAGCTGTTCCTGAAAGAGCAGTTTGTGTCAGAGTTCTCTCAGCCCTACCCACCTCACAGGGTATCTGTTGTGGGGAGGGGAAGGGAAAGAAGTTTGTAAACCGCTCTGAGACTCCAAGTGAAGGGCGGGGTATAAATCCAATCTCTTCTTCTTCTTCTTCTTCTTCATGTGTTCACTGGTGAAAGAAAGGGGACCAAGTGTGAAGGAGGTTTCTGGAGCATGCGCTGAGAGCCTCTGTGACCCCCAACACTTGCTTCCAAAGTCACTCTCTCCCCAGTCCCCACCCACCACCACCAGTCTTAACTCAAGTGTTTCCTATAAGCTGAGTCAGTGTGAGCCGGCTCACAGTTTTTTTAGCCTCTGGCTGACACATTTTTGCCTCCGCTCAGGAAGGAGGGCTCCAGAGCAAGCTAATTTATGCAGCAGCCAAATTGCTCGCTCACAACTTTTATGCCAGTATGCTCAGAAAGTAGAATTTTTGCTCACAGGACTCCACAGCTCAGAGGGAGCACTGGGTTTAATATGTCTGGATTCCATAGATCCATTCCATTAATGGTGGTACTTTCACCCATCCACCCCCAACTTCCGCAATGAGCTGGCGGGACCTTCCTCGCGCCAGAGAAAGGCGCAGCCGTTAGTATAAAGGATCTACATGCTCCTGCCCTAGATGGATTGAGGCCAGCCCACAGTTAGGAGACTGGACTTCTAACAAAGCGTAGCAGTTGCGGTAAAAGCAACAGAAAGCGACAGCGTTACCCAAAACTCTTCACCAGAAGAAAGCCAAAGTGAGCATTTTGCCATTAGAGGAAATTCCACACATCTAAAAGCAATTCCATTGGGGCTGGTTTCGCAGAACGTATTTGGGCCTGTGGTCCAGGAAATGTTGCTGTAGAACCCTCCTCACTCAGAAGCTAAGGAGATCTGTGCCCTTTTGAATTCTGCCTGCCCTAGGATGCTGGGCAATTTGAAAGTATGCTTGTTTCTGTAACAGAAGTGGGCCAAGGCAAACATAATCCACTCTGTATGCCAGAAAAACTGGGACAGTGGGGTGAAACCGAAATCTTATCAGGGACCAAAAAAGGAAAATAAAAAATCTTGACACAGAGAGTACTCCATCTCTCTGTGTTATACCTCTGAGGATGCCAGTCACAACTACTGGCGAAACGTCTGGTCCGACAATGCCAAGACCACGGCCACACAGCCCGGAAAATCTACAACAGCGAATGAACTCCGGCCGTGAAAGCCTTCGACAACAATCTTATATTCCAACAGTAGGGAGCGCTGCAAACACAGCCACTGAACAGGTCCCCAAGAAACACGGAGAACTGCTTTGAGCCTGTGGACACCTCTGGAATTCTGACAAAGGGTGGCGGGCGCAACCACAAAATGGTTGCCATCGGAGGCTACCAGAGGTAACTCAAGGGCAGGGGAGAAGAGGTACAATTTTAAAAAATACACTGGTAATGAATCATAGAATCATAGAGTCATCTAGTCCAACCCCATGCTGCACAATGCAGGAAATTCACAAATACCTCCCCCTCCACACCCCCAGTGACCCCTGTTTCATGCCAAGAAGATGACAAAAAACCTCCAGGATCCCTGGCCAAACTGGCCTGGAGAAAAATGGCTTCCTGACCCCAAAGTGGTGATCAGCATTTCCCTGGGCATGTAAAAAAGGGCCACGAGAACTGAGCACTGAGGCAACCCTTCCTGCCCTCCCTCTCACGATCTGCCTAAAATCATAAAATTAGCATTGCTGTTAGATGGCCATGGAAGGGGCCACGGTGGCTCAGAGGTTAAGATGCTGAGCTGCAGACCAAAAGGTCTGCAGTTCAGCAGTTCGAGACCCGAGTGCCACGTGACGGAGTGAGCTCCCATCTCTGGTTCCAGCTCCTGCCAACCTAGCAGTTCGAAAGCAAGAAATTGCAAGTAGATAAATAGGTACCGCTTCAGTGGGAACATCACAGCATTCCGTGCACCTCGGGCGTTTAGTCATGCCGGCCACATGACCACGGAAACGTCTTTGGACAGCGCCGGCTCTTCGGCTTGGAAATGGAGATGAGCACTGCCTCCTAGAGTTGAGTTCGACTAGCTTTCGAGCAAGGGAAACCTTTACCTTTTTTAGATGGCCATGAGAGGACAGAGAGAGAGAATAAAACCGACACTGCAGCTTGCCGCTGCAACCAAAGCAACGTTATTTTACTCTGCACAATCGGATCTTCGATGGCCAATCAGAAGCCATGCTAGCCATGAGCACCGCCAGGCCCCGCCCTCTTTCTGCACACACTTGGCAAGTGTTGCAGACCCCAATTTAGAACAACATTTATTTCATGTAGTTGCTTTATGTAGAGTCCACCTTTCTCAGTAAGGTTCAAGGCAAAAATATAAAAATAATGCAATCAGACAGCATAAGGCAACCCGTGAACAATGCAATGAGATTACAGGATTAGAGGAGCTACATTCGAGTCCACCTTAGAGACCAACAAAGATCTTCAGGGTATGGGCTTTCAAGACTCAAAACTTCATTCCTTAGAATCTAACTAGTCGCAGTCCTCAAAGGCAACCCTCTGAAACTATCTTCATGAAAGAATTAGAGAACATTAGCTGTTGGAGATTTTCTGGGTTGTCTGGCTGTGGTCTTGGCATTGTAGGACCTGACGTGTTGCCAGTAGCTGTGACTGGCATCCTCAGAGGTATAACACAGAAAGATAGAGTACTCTCTGTGTCAAGGTGAGAAGGAAAATGGTAGGTAGGTAATTTATATCTACTCAGGAAGGTGGGGTAGGGCTGAGTCATTATCTTGTAAGAGTTCCCCAGGCTGTGAACATGCTAATGGAGGAGCTTTCCTGAGGAGGTTCTTTTGCATGTGGATTCTAATCTTCTCTGTAGTGCTATTGTCAGATGTAGAGCCTTTTGTGTTTTTCAGGACAGGAAACCATGCCCTATTTATTCTTAAACTCTCTTCTTTCCTGTTGAAATTGTGTTTATGTTTATGAATTTCAATGGCGTCCCTGTGTAATCTGACATAGAAACATAGAATGTGAGAGTTGGAAGGGATCTTGCAGGTCATCTAGTCCAACCCCCTGCACTCTGCAGGAGCACAGCCGAAAGAGAGCCCTACAACATAACCGAAAGATGGTCGTCCAGCCTCCGCTTGAAAACGTCCAGTGACGGAGCATCCACCACCTCCCGAGGCAGTCTGTTCCACTGCTCAACCACTCTTACAGTTAGGAAGTTCCTCCTGATATCTAGCCGGTAACGACTCCCTTGTAATTTCCACCCATTAGACCTAGTCTTGCAATCCGGAGCAAGAGAGAATAGATCCGCTCCATCTTCTACATGACAGCCCTTCAAATACTTGAAGACTGCAATCATGTCCCCTCTAAGCCTTCTCTTTCCCAGGCTAAACAGACCCAACTCTTTCAGCCTTTCCTCATAAGACTTGGATTCCAACCCTCTCACCATCCTGGTTGCCCTCTTCTGGACACACTCGAGCTTGTCAACCTCCTTCCTAAAATGTGGTGCCCAGAACTGGACACAGGACTCCAGGTGAGGCCTGACCATAGCAGAATAGAGCGGAACGACCACCTCCCGCGATCTGGACACAAGGCTTCTGTTAAGGCATCCTAAGACTGCATGGTAACTGGATGTGTCATCCAGCCTTTCAGTGTCTCGGAATAAAACACTGTGTCCTGTTTGAGTTAGGCTGTGTTCAGCCACTGCTGATTTTTCAGGTTGGCCAAGTCTGCAGTGTTGCTCATGTTCTTTTCTACTTGTCTCAATGCTACGCTGTAGAGAACAGTATGACACCACTAACCTACAGGGACGGAAAGTGCCCAGGTCATGCCCTTTCTCTGCCCTAACAGTCAGGACAGTATATGCCAAATATTGGAAAATAATGAAAATACCAACGAAACAAGAGTACGTGAACAAGCTATTTGAAACAGCGGAAAATGACAAACTGACACTTGAGATGAGAGCCGGTACAGAATAGACTTTTCAAAAAAACTTGGAAGAGATTCTACAATTGGTATAATGTAAATGCAACTGATAGATAAATGTAGTAATTTGAGAACGCAGAAAAGATAAGCTTAGTAAAATAGATAATGAATTTAGAAAATTAATAAGCAGAAGGAATGATAAAGTCTCTTGTTATATGTTGTGGGGGGTAGTTGGGGGTTGTTTGTATGTATGTTTGTATGTCTGTAGTATATAATGGGGGGAAAAATAAAAGTGTACCCTCGGGTGCTTATTAAAAAAAAAAAAAGGATGTGTAACCCCGGTGGGGAGCTGCGGTGGCTCGAGTGGTTAAGACGCTGAACTGCAGGCTGTGGAAGGTCGGTAGTTCAGCAGTTCGAGACCCGGATGCCGCATGACGGGGTGAGCTCCCATTGCTAGTTCCAGCTCCTGCCAACCTAGCAGTTCGAAAGCAAGACATTGCAAGTAGATACATAGGTACCACTTCAGTGGGAAGGTAACAGCGTTCCGTGCGCCTTGGTGTTTAGTCATGCCGGCCACATGACCACGGAAACGTCTTCGGACAGCGCTGGCTCTTCGGCTTTGAAACAGAGATGAGCACCGCAACCCTAGAGTCGGATTCGACTGGCTTTCGAGCAAGGGAACCTTTACCTTTACCTTTTTAACCCCGGTGGGGGTCCGGTCACAGCCAGCCAAGTAGCCAAAGTCAGAGATCTGCCTGATCAAAAGATGCACTCCCTCTGCGGCAGAGCAGAAACAAAGGAAATCTTTACCTGTTGAGCACGCGGTAAGCAGCCTCCATGTTCCCATCAGGGACCATCACTGTCCGAGCGATAAATCTGATGTGATTCGCCATGTCGGCTGTGCTTGTTCACCACGGAGCCAAGGGCGCTAGTGTCCGGTCCAGGCAGATCCCCCCAGCTGGAGATCTTGTTTCTGCAAAGCAAGCGAGAATCCCCAGAATGAAGGGTTAAGTGACAAATCCTTGTAAGGTACACAAGACTGAAGCTGGCTCACAGTTCCTTACTCACAAGTCCAAGCACAGCCCTGCCATCTTGGAGGGCACAGTCCGCAGAGTCTGGGTGTGACCTGGGGGGTTGCCCAAAGCTCTCTTGGGGGCACAGAAATGATGCTGCCCACAATTCCTTATTAAGTACATCTTAATTAGGTAAAGGTAAAGGTTCCCTTGCTCGAAAGCCAGTCAAAGCCGAAGAGCCAGCGCTGTCCGAAGACGTTTCCATGGTCATGTGGCCGGCTTGACTAAACACCAAGGCGCATGGAACGCTGTTCCCTTCCCCCCGAAGTGGTCCCTATTGATCTACTTGCAATTTCTTGCTTTCGAACTGCTAGGTTGGCAGGAGCTGGAACTAGAGACGGGAGCTCACTCCGTCATGCGGCACCCGGGTCTCGAACTGCTGAACTACCAACCTTCCACAGCCTGCAGTTCAGCGTCTTAACCACTTGAGCCACCGCAGCTCCATACATCTTAATTAGCAGTATGATAATCCAGGATTCTTGGGGGCAACCAGAATAGCTTTCTTGGAGGTCGCCCCTCCAAATACTAGCCAAGGCCGACCCTGCTTAGCTTTCCGAGCTCTGATGGAATTGGGCTAGCCTGGATTTGTCCATGGCCCACCCCCACCTATGAAGTTTACAGCACCGCTGCCCACAGGGAGTATTTCTGGAGGGCTGCCCCCAATTTCTCCTTTCACAAGAGAGGGACAGCTTCGGCGGGAGGGTGGGATAAAAATTAAATAAATAAATAAATAAATAAATGATAGTTAAAAACCAAGCGTAACAGAAGCCATGTTGGATCAGGCCAGTGGCCCCTCCAGTACAACACTCTGGGTCACCCAGTTGCAGAACCCAGGGGCCCTCAAGAGGTCCACCAGCGGGGCCAGAACTTCAGATGCCCTCCCACTGTTGACCCCCACGCACCAAGGATACAGAGCATCCCTTGCCCCAGGCATAAGAACGTTAAGAGAAGCCAATGATGGATCAGGCCAATGGCCCATCCAGTCCAACACTCTTGTGTCACACAGTGGCCAAAACCCAGGGGCCATCAGGAGGTCCACCAGTTGGGCCAGAACTCCAGAAGCCCTCCAACCCAAGCACCAAGAAGACAGAGCATCACTGCCCCAGACTGCAAACTGTTTTAATGTGTTTTAAATTTTATTGTATTGATTGTATTTATTAAAATGTTGTAACCCGCTCTGAGCCCATTTATGAGATAAGCAGGATATAAATGTGTGGGGGGGGATTAACTGCAAGGTGGGAAGAGCGATTACGGAATCTTCCCATATGGGGGGGGGGTGGGCTTGCAAAATGGCATCAGACCGGTCTACCTTACAGGACTGGTGTGTGCCATGGTATAGAACACAATATCATGCAAGGCATTTATGCCCACTCAAAAAAGCCAAACAAAAGCTGACGAGGTTGCCCCGTTGCACCCTTAACCACAGCCAGGAGAGCCAATGGCGATACACAAATCTGCACCTAACCTGCGTCCCTCATTTGGAGGGGGAGAACGGAGGACCACCCTCCCCCAACCATTTTTTAAGAGGGTAAGACTTTGGTGTGCTCAACAGAACAGTGCCTGCTTTTTTGTAGCAGGAACTCCTTTGCATATTAGGCGTAAAGGTAAAGGTTCCCTTGCTCGAAAGCCAGTCGAGTCCGACTCTAGGGTTGCGGTGCTCATCTCCGTTTCGAAGCCGAAGAGCCAGCGCTGTCCGAAGACGTTTCCGTGGTCATGTGGCCGGCATGACTAAACACCAAGGCGCAGGGAACGCTGTTACCTTCCCACTGAAGCGGTACCTATTTCTCTACTTGCAATTTCTTGCTTTCGAACTGCTAGGTTGGCAGGAGCGTGAACGAGAGACGGGAGCTCACTCTGTCATGCGGCACACCCGGGTCTCGAACACACCCCTAAATGTAGCCAATCCCCCAAGAGCTCACAGTAGCCCCTGTAAGAAGAGCCCTGTAAGCTCTTGGAGGATTGGCTTCATTGGGGGGGGGGGGTGTCGCCTAACATGCAAAGGAATTCCTGCTACAAAAAGAGCCCTGGCCCAGGTTACCAACTCTGGGTTGGAGAATTCCTGGAGATTTGGGGGAAGGGGCATGGGAAGAGTGGGATTTGGGGAGAGACCTCAGTGGGGATCACAAGGCCACAGAGGCCACCCTCCAAAGCAGCCCCTTCCCCCCCCTCCCAGGGGGGACTGATTCCTGTCGCCTGGAGATCGGCTGGAATTCCGGGAGATCTCCAGGCGCCACCTGGAGATCGACAACTGTCAACGCCTTGCGGGGGGGAGAGAGAACGTTCTACCCCGCTTACTGCGCGGGGGGGTGGGGGTGCGCGCGCACACGCCCCGACAGCGAAGGGGAAGCGGAGCAAAGCGCCCTCCCATTGCTGCTGCTGCAACCGCTCCCCCCCCCCCCCCCCCCCCCCCCCCGGCAGCGGCTACTAATCGAGGTCGGGGATGCGGGAGGGCCTAGAGGGCCACGACCCGAAGTGAGTGTATGGAGGGGGGTGGGGAAGCAAATAAGCACTCACCCCCCCTTCTCCCGAGCAGGTGACGCCGAAGCCGACCCAGAGACACCGCCCCCCGGAAGCGGAAGCCCTTTTCCCGCCTCCCCCCCTCCTCGGCGTCAGGCTTGCGGCCTAGCCGCGGTCTCCATGGCAACGGGCCGGGGAAGGCTCCGGGCCTAGCCACCCACCCCCGAGCTCGACCAGTTCCCCTGGAGAAAATGGCCGCTTTGAGCGAAAAGAGGAGACATGAGGAGAATTTAATCATTATTATACTTTTGTTTAGCTGAAATGTTGTTATGAATTATAGACGGATAAAAAAAAAGAATCACTTCAATGTAATCTCCTATAGAGTTTGATTGTTGGATTAATTGTGATTAGGGTTAATGTAAAGGGAGATTTAAGGAGCTGCGGTGGCTCAAGTGGTTAAGACGCTGAACTGCAGGCTGTGGAAGGTCAGTAGTTCAGCAGTTCGAGACCCGGGTGCCGCATGAGGGAGTGAGCTCCCATCTCTAGTTCCAGCTCCTGCCAACCTAGCAGTTCGAAAGCAAGAAATTGCAAGTAGATAAATAGGTACCACTTCAGTGGGAACGTAACAGCGTTCCGTGTGCCTTGGTGTTTAGTCATGCCGGCCACATGACCATGGAAATGTCTATATATAAATTAATTAATTAATTAAAGAGAGATTTAAGGTGTGGTTAGAAATACACTTAGAAATGTGATCTGAGATGATGTTGGGGAAGGTGGACGCATTTAGCCATGTTAGTCACGTTAGAATTTTGTGTTAAGACACGAGATGGCGGTCTTTCTTTTGTGTGTATTTGTTGATGTCTATGTATTGTTGTTGTTTGTCTCTTTTTTGTGTTGCAAAATTAATAAAAAACTATTGGGGGTGGGGGAAGAGAAAATGGCTGCCTTGGGAACGTGGACTCCATAGCGTTATATCCTTCTGAAGTCCGCCCCCTCTCCAAACCCCGCTTCACCACCCAAATCTCCAGCTGTTTCCCAGCCCAGAGATGGCAACCTTGGCTCTTCAGCATACTTTCTGCTCTGTCGTTCCTACTGGCTGTAACTTGGGGTGGGGGCCTCTCGGGAGGTCTTCATCTTTCCTTTTTTTGTAAATTTATTTTTATTATTATTATAAGATAAGTAAGGAAAAGATAAAGGTCTCCCTTGCTCGAAAGCCAATCAAATCCGACTCTAGGGTTGCAGTGCTCATCTCCGTTTTCAAGCCGAAGAGCCAGCGCTGTCCGAAGATGCTTCCGTGGTCATGTGGCCGGCATGACTAAACACCAAGGCACACGGAACGGTGACCTTCCCACCGAAGTGGTACCTATTTATCTACTTGCAATGTCTTGCTTTCGAACTGCTAGGTTGGCAGGAGCTGGAACTAGAGACGGGAGCTCATTCCGTCATGCGGCACACTCCGGTCTCGAACTGCTGAACTACGGACCTTCCACAGCCTGCAGTTCAGCGTCTTAACCACTTGAGCCACCGCAGCTCCAAAAGTAAAGGTTCCCTTGCTCGAAAGCCAGTCGAGTCCAACTCATATCAGTTTCAAAGCCGCAGAGCCAGCGCTGTCCGAAGAAGTTTCCATGGTCATGTGGCCGGCATGACTAAACACCAAGGCGCACGAAACGCTGTTACCTTCCCACTGAAGTGGTACCTATTTATCTATATGCAGTTTCTTGCTTTCAAACTGCTAGGTTGGCAGGGGCTGGAACTAGAGACGGGAGCTCACTCTGTCTTGCGGCACACTCGGGTCTCAAATTGCTGAACTACCGACCTTCCACAGCCTGCAGTTGAGCGTCTTAACCACTTGAGCCACCGCAGCTCCAATAAGATAAGTACATGTACAAATAACACATATTTTGTTTTACATTACTCAGTACAGTCTACAACAGCAGCCAACCAGTTCCTCTGGAGGGCCAACAAATTTAGGGCTCGGGACACTTTGTCCAGGAAGGGGACTCTGGGCTCGTCACCCTGCGCTTTCAGCTTCCCAAGCTGGGAGAGAACATAGGAGCGGCTTCGAAATGCAAAGAACATTTCCTCCCTGTCTGGTTGGGCTGGATTCTGTGCCGCTCCGTCCTCTGGGAAACCTTGACAGGAGCCTGAAAGAGAGAGAGAGGGCGATTCCAGACCTGATTCAGTTTGGTGTAGTGGCTAGGGGCGCGGACTGTAAGGTCCACCAAGCACTAAAGTCCACTAATCAACATCTTTGGGTGGTCCCCGGCCCCAGGGATGTCCGACTTGCCTCAACCTGCCTGGTGGAATGAGCTCCTTAGTGAGATCAGGGCCCTGCGGGATTTATAACAATGCCGCAGGGCCTGAGAGACGAAGCTCTTCCGCCCCGGGCCTTTGGTTCAGGCAGCGGGCGTCCCCCTCCTTGGGTCGGCCCCCACTTATAGCCTCGGCCGGCCCCCCACTTATAGCTTGGGTTGGCTCCTATTTACAGTTGGGTCGGCCCCTGATTTACAGCCTGGGTCAGAGACCCTAAATGGAACAGATCTCTGGGAAATTATTCCCAGTATAGCTGGCTTTCATTAGAGCTGTCTGCTTTATATGTTTCGATGTGGTTTTCATTGTATTGAATTTTATATTGTTGTACTGAATTTATATTGTTGGAACCCGCCCTGAGCCCATCAAGGGGAGGGCAGGATATAAACCCAAATAAACAGATACATAATCTGGGAGAACCGGGTTTGATTCCCCACTCCTCCACTTGCACCTGCTGGATGACCTTGGGCAAGCCGTAGTTCTGACAAGAGCTGTCCTTGAAAAAGAGCCGTTTCTGTCAAGAGCTCTCTCAGCCCCACCTGCCTCACAGGGTGTCTGTTGTGGGGAGGGGAAGGAAAAGGAGATTGTAAGCTGCTCTGAAACTCCGAGTGAAGAGCAGGGTATAAATCTAATCTCTTCCCTTCTTCTTCTTCTTTCCCTTGCTCTAAAGCAGGAGAGCCAGTTTGGTGTCGTGGTTAAGTGCGCGGACTCTAATCTGGTAGAACCAGGTTTGATTCCCCACTCCTCCACTTGCAGCCAGCTGGACGACCTTGGGCAAGCCATAGTTCTGTCAGAGCTGCCCTTGAAAAAGAGCCGTTTCTGTCAGAGCTCTCTCAGCCCCACCTCCCTCACAGGGTGTCTGTTGTGGGGAGGGGAAGGGAAAGGAGACTGTAAGCCGCTCTGAGACTCCTTCAGGTAGTGAAGGGCGGGGTAGAAATCCAATCTCTTCTCTTCTTCTTCTAAAAATTACAGTCACTTGGGTGAGTCCAGCCTAGCAATAGTATGCGTTGGTACCATGCAAAAATCCGGTAGGCCACAGACCACATCTTGGGGTGCATGATGTGCCCCTCCACACATCCCGTACACAGGTTCTGGGGCACCAAAGCATCTGCCGCAATGAATTCCCTTTAGTCTCACGGCACCACCAGACCAGCTGTCCGTCTGGCACTTTGCACAAGCAGCGGCTGCTCTCCCTGCCACATGATGCGGGGTGTAGGTGGAGCCGGGATTGCACGTGCCTCCCAAAGGCAGGCAGCTCCAAAGTAACACAAGAGCAACTTTCCCCCTTGGGGGAGGAGGCCCGCTTCCTACACACGCCCGCCTCCTCATCCAGCTTGTTCAGCTGAAGATCCGGAGAAGGGTAACCCACATGGGAGGCCCAAGCAAACCCAGTCTTGCAGAAGGGGGCATGAAACAGAAGTGTCCTGGGACTGTTTCTGTAGAATTCTGAACATGCTTCACCTGACAAACCATGGGACTCATATGCCTTAGGAAGCAACATAGGCACTGGTCTCCAGGCAGGACAAATATGACAAACCTTAGCAGTCGCTCCTTCAAAAGAGAACAAGCCAGGGGGTGGATAGAATTGGGCGGGGGGGGCAACAATCTGAAAACACATTCGCAGCGGCATCAACCTTCCCCCCCCCGCCCCCCCCCCAGCTCTGGCTTCACCGGCCTTCGCTGCCCAGTTACAACATATTTCATTAGGAAGCAGTGCCTTGGTTGTGATAGCCCCAAGGCTCAGGCACACTCCGCCTCCACGGTGCAGAAGGCAAATGAGATGCTGTGATTTCCAAATTCTATTTCGCAGATATCTCAGGCATGTTTAAAGACTGCTTAATGGGCAGTGTTAGTTACCACTAAGTGATTCAATTTTGCACTTTGAAAGGGGGCGGGCAAGCTGTCTCGAGCAGGGGTGTCAAACTCATTTGTTTGATCTGACCTAAATGAGACCTTGTTGGGCCGGGCCGGGTGTGTCATAAAATGCAATGCCAGGTAGCAGAGATATAAACTTTATAAAGGACACAAAGGTTGGGGTGTTTTTTTACTTAAAATAAAAACATGCTTATAACATTAGCACCCTTGCAATATTTTGCTTATTTAACAGTGTCTGATAACTGACACCTCTTGCTCTGAATTATTGCATCAAGATGTCTCTGCTGTTGCAGTCATGAGTATGCTGTTCAGGTGTGTAGCAGCAGAACAGGTGTGTAGAAGCAGAACTGGAAGCAGCAGCAGAAGACAGCCAGTTCCACTGCGGGCCTGACAGAAGCCCTCCGGGGGCCTGATCCGGCCCCCTGGGCTGTTTGACACCCCTGGTCTTGAGCATTCTAGAAAAGCAGCCTATAAGCAGTTCAAATATAAAATTTAAATCAATTATCTGTTTAGAACCCGTAAACTGTTAACCCTGAAAAAAACCAAATCCAGGAAAATGAAAACGGACAAACGATCCGACACGATTTTGTTTCTGACAATCACGGCAATGCCTTTTTATTAAAACCGACCCTTTACCCTTGGATGGCAAAGCCTCCTCCGTCAAATGCACAATAATTGTCTTTAAGTTAAAAAAAGGGAGGGGGGTAAATAAAGTGGAGGCTTCCGTAAAAAAAAAAGCCACGAGGGTGGTGGAGACATTCACACGTTCGGGGAAACGGCATCTCAGGAGCTGCTGCCACACTCCGGCCTCTCGCTGGGCACTGTCAGTTTCTCGCCAGACGTCGGCAAACACGGCAGAGACGTCGAGTGGCAGGCCAGGGACCTGCCGGGAAGGCCGCCCCCGCTGCCCCCTTGCGTGGCACCCGGGAGGCTCTGGCAACGCGGAAGTTCCCCACAACTCGGGAGCAGCCGGCTCGAATGGATGCAGGCCGGGGGAGGGAGGGCGGGGGTCCCAGAAATGGAGCGGTCAGAGGCCCCGGGGGTGGCCAGGCCGCCGTGGAGGAAGAGGACGATGCCGTAGGTGCTGGGGGGAGCCGGGCCCAGCAGGGCCTGCCCGAAGGCAGAGTTCCCAGGGCCCAAGGGGGGGTTCGAAATCGGCGACGTGTGGATCCAGGTCAAGTTCATGGCGGGCCAGTCGGCCAGCAGGGGGGCCTGCTCCCCCCACCACGCTTCGGCCCTGCCGTCGTCGGGGGAGTCCGTGAGGTGCGTCTGGTGGAGCTCTTCCGTGGGGGGGCTCTGTGCGGGGCTGGGCCTGCAAGCGGCCTTCCCCGGCGAGACCGGCTCTGCAGACGGAGGTTTCTAGAGACGAGGGAGAGAAGAGGGCGGCGTCAGAACAAGCAGGGAGCGGAGGCCTTTGACTTTGGAGGGGCGCCGACGGGCGGGGCGCCACACTTCACGCAACAGGCCAAACCAGTGCGGCGGAGGGGCCCTGGAGAGAGTCTGATTCCAAACAGGACAACGCCCCACCCCAAAGGGTGTGCCCACACTGCCAAATCAAGCTTATCTCACTCTGTCTCTCTCTCTCACACACACACTCGGTCTCTCTCTCTCTCTGCTTCCCAGTGTGCCTCGGCCTCAAAATCAGAAGCACTGCTTAGACCCCAACATACAAGGAGTGTGCTGTTAAGTGCCAAGTATTTGTGGATTTCTTCAAAACCGGGGAGGAGGGGCACTCCTCCTCCATCTATTAAGAAAGCACCGGTCAAACAGAAGAAAGAAACAGTCAAACAACTCCTGGCATTCAAAAACGAGAAGAGAAGAGACTGGATTTATACCCCGCCCTTCATTCCCTGAAGGAGTCTCAGAGCGGCTTACAATCTCCTTTCCCTTCCCCTCCCCACAACGGACCCCCTGTGAGGTAGGCGGGGCTGAGAGAGCTCTTTTGAGGACTGCCCATGAGAGAACAGCTCTGAACATGTGACGGACCCAAGGTCACACCAGCAGCTGCACGTGGAGGAGTGGGGAATCAAACCTTGTTCTCCCACATTAGAGTCCACACACTCCTAACCACTACACGAAACCTGCTTTTCCTTGGGTCTACCTTTCGCCCTGGTATGCAAGCCTTCTGTCTGTGGGTATCTTTTTTTTTTATCTTAGGATAGGGATGAGTTCAATCATGTGAAACTTTGAACCACATACATTTTTAGCGGCTAGGTTCGAGTTTAGCAGCACCTCAGAGACCAAGATTTTGGAGACTGGAGCTTTCAAAAGTCAAAGCACCCTTCTGTAGATACTCTTGGAAGGCCAGTGGCTATTAGCCACAAGGTACAGATAGGGACTCTGGGACAAGTGATGCTCTGTCTTCTTGGTGCTTGGGGGGGGGGGTCAACAGTGGGAGGGCTCCTAGTGTCCTGGCCCCACTAGTGGACCTCCTGATAGCCCCTGGTATTTCTGGCCACTGTGTGATACAGAGTGTTGGACTGGATGGGCCTTGGCCTGATCCAACACTGGCATCTCTTATGTTCTTATGTCATACCACGAAAATCTCACTGGACTCGAACCCAGCTGTTCTACGGCAGGCCGATGCAGCCACCCTCGGAAACTGAACAGTTTCAAAGGCAACACGCTAAGAACACTTATCAGATGACGGGCCACATACGTCCTTCCACCCTAACGTGCATGGAGGTTATTCATCACAGGGGAGCATTCAACACCACCACCCCACCCCGTGAAATGCTCCAAGAAACATGGGCTTCCCAGAACCGCTGCTCGGGCCACGGGGACCTCAAAACGCATGCCGGGAAAGGGAGGCACCGTTTTCTCTCACCTCTGCCATTTCAGATACATCCTCCGGCGCAGTACCACAGTTGGTATGCGAACTCTTCAAGGCAACGTGAGGGAACCACACTTTCAGCATCCTCTCCACCTGCAACAAGGTGCCCAGGTAGCGCTCCCTGTGAGGAAAGAGACAAGCAAGGTAGAGTGAGGGGGGAGTGGGTGATGGCTGATGGGACGGACAGCTTTAAAAGGGGGAGAGAGAGACTCATGGAGGGGAGGGCTATCAGTGGCTACCAGCCATGGTGACTGAGGGGAACCTCCACATTCAGAGGCACTAAGCCTCTGTATCTCAGAGCCAGCATCAGGGGAAGGCCTCGGCCTCTCTGCCCTGTTGTTGGCCCTCCAGAGGAACTGGTTGGCTGCTATTGTAGACTGGATGCTAGACTAAATGCACCCTCACTGGTCTGATCCAGCAGGACTGTTCTGACATTCTTATCAGGGGAAGGTCTCGGCCTCTCTGCCCTGTTGTTGGCCCTCCAGAGGAACTGGTTGGCTGCTATTGTAGACTGGATGCTAGACTAAATGCACCCTCACTGGTCTGATCCAGCAGGACTGTTCTGACATTCTTATCAGGGGAAGGTCTCGGCCTCTCTGCCCTGTTGTTGGCCCTCCAGAGGAACTGGTTGGCTGCTATTGTAGACTGGATGCTAGACTAAATGCACCCTCACTGGTCTGATCCAGCAGGACTGTTCTGACATTCTTATCAGGGGAAGGTCTCGGCCTCTCTGCCCTGTTGTTGGCCCTCCAGAGGAACTGGTTGGCTGCTATTGTAGACTGGATGCTAGACTAAATGCACCCTCACTGGTCTGATCCAGCAGGACTGTTCTGACATTCTTATCAGGGGAAGGTCTCGGCCTCTCTGCCCTGTTGTTGGCCCTCCAGAGGAACTGGTTGGCTGCTATTGTAGACTGGATGCTAGACTAAATGCACCCTCACTGGTCTGATCCAGCAGGACTGTTCTGACATTCTTATCAGGGGAAGGTCTCGGCCTCTCTGCCCTGTTGTTGGCCCTCCAGAGGAACTGGTTGGCTGCTATTGTAGACTGGATGCTAGACTAAATGCACCCTCACTGGTCTGATCCAGCAGGACTGTTCTGACATTCTTATCAGGGGAAGGTCTCGGCCTCTCTGCCCTGTTGTTGGCCCTCCAGAGGAACTGGTTGGCTGCTATTGTAGACTGGATGCTAGACTAAATGCACCCTCACTGGTCTGATCCAGCAGAGCTCTTCTGATGTTCTTATGACCACCAAAAAAGCAAGTTTCTGTCAGAGCTCTCTCAGCCCCACCTAACTCACCGTGTGTCTGTTGTGGGGAGGAGAAGAGAAAGGAGTCTGTAAGCCGCTCTGAGTGAAGGGTGGGGTATAAATCCAATCTCACCCCATCAGTGTTCCCTCTAAGTTGAGTCAGTGTGAGCTAGCTCAGTTTTTTAGCCTCCGGCTCACACATTTTTGTCTTAGCCCAGGAAGGAGGGCTCCAAGAGCAAACCGATTGATGCAGCAGCCAAATGGCTCGCTCACCACTTTAATGCCAGTCGCTCACAAAGCAGGATTTTTGCTCACAAGACTCCACAGCTCAGAGGGAGCATTGCACCCTGTTCCTATGAATCATAAAATTCTGGGCTGTTGCTTAAGCTGAAGCCCCCCCCCCCCCCCCCCCCCCAGCGAGACGCTCACCCCATTCCCGGCTTCTGAAGGACACCGATTATCCGCTGGATCCGGTCCATCGCCACGCTCTGCTGGAAGGAGCTGAGTCCTGGAAAAGCAAGGGGGGAAAGAGGCGGATTAGTTCACGACTGCCCCACAATCCACCAGCAGCACAGGCAACGAGACTGCTCATGGCAAACATGGGGGGGGAACAGACACACACACACACTTCCGTCCTGCCTCAGTGGTGCCCACACAAAGTCAAGCTACTCTCTCCCTTAGAAGTGGCCACTTTGTCCATATGCATCTGTGGGCGGAGGAGAAGCCCACCACTGTAAATCCTCCACTGGCACCTGGCTGGATGACCTTGGGCAAGCCGTAGTTCTCTCAGAGCTGTCCTTGAAAAAGAGCAGTTTCTTTCAGAGCTCTCTCAGCCCCGCCCACCTCATGGGGTGTCTATTGTGGGGAGGGGAAGGGAAAGGAGGTTGTAAGACGCTCTGAGACCCCCTTGGGTAGTGAAGGGTGGGGTATAAATCCAATCTCTTCTTCTTCCTCTATTCTAACAGCAAAAGGATAATGTCAAGAGCAGGAAATCCTGTGATTTGAGCAGGTTTCACAATGTGGTCCCCTTGGGGTGTTGTCCCCCCAAGTTTGAAGAAGAGAAGAAGAGATTGGATTTCTACCCCACCCTTCGCTACCCAAGGGAGTTAATACTGTGGAGAGGAAATATGAATAATTGTTACTTCTGGATTTTTAAAAATTGTTTTGTGGAGGTTTTCTTTGTCTGTTCCACATAAACTAGTAACAGTTCAGGAGATTGTTGCTCCATTTGTTACAATTACAAATAAGTATTATTTAAAAAGTAAATTCTGTTTGTAATAACTGTTTGGGTACGCAATATTTTTAATATGCTAGTTGTGGTAATTTCATGCCAAGTAAAATTATCCAATTACCAAATCTTAGACTATATTATGAAGCGGTCTGTCTAACCTGGATGGAACAATGGGTGAAATTAGAAAATGATAAGTTACTGGGGTTAGAAGGCCATGATTGTAGATTTGGTTGGCATGCATATTTATGGTATGACAAAACAAAAATGGATAGCTTTTTTAAGCTTCATGTGGTAAGAAAAGCACTATTTGTGGTATGGATGAGGTATAAAAAATACTTTTGTGATGTAAGACCATTGTGGATTGTACCAGTGGAAGTGTTAACATCTTACTCAAGACATAGAGATAAAGATTGGTTGCCATATAAAGATCTAATTAAAAAAGTGGGAACAGAATGGGTAATGAAAAAGCAGAATGAAATTGAATATGATTATGAATGGCTGAAATATATGCAGATTTTTGACCTTTTTAGATCAGACAAAAGAAACTATGGTTTTAGAGAGGAAAAAAATGAGATTGAAATGATTTGGGAGAGTGAAGGGGGAAAAAATATCTCTAAAATGTATAAAGTGTTACTAAAATGGTATACTGAAGATGAGACTGTAAAAGGGCAAATGATAAAATGGGCGATAAATATGAATACGGAAGTGGCTATTGAAACCTGGGAATATTTGTGGAAAAATTCTATTAAGATATCGCCTTGTACCAATGTTAGAGAGAATTGTTATAAAATGATGTATAGGTGGTACATGACTCCGAAAAAAATTGCAAATATGAACCAGAATATGTCAAATAAGTGTTGGAAATGTAAAAGCCATGAAGGCTCATTTTACCACATGTGGTGGACTTGTGAGAAAGCAGTTGACTTTTGGACAAAAGTCCACAATGAAATGCAAAAAATTTTGAAATGCTCTTTTAAAAAGGCACCGGAAATTCTGCTTTTAGGATTGAAAATGGAAGAAGTCAATACAACTAAAAAGACTTTATTCTGGTACTTAATCACAACAGCGAGAATGATTTATGCACAATTTTGGAAAACAGAGAAAGTACCAGAAATTGAGGACTGGATACAAAAAGTTCTGTTCATGGCAGAGATGGACAAAATTACGAAGAAATTGAACAACAAAGAAGACGACGTGTTTTTTCAAGAATGGAGTGACTTTAAAATATATCTGGAAAAGAACTGGGATGTGAAACAAAACTTAATATGTTTAGACCAATATTAAGTCAAATGATGTTATCTTTAGATTGTAATGATAAGAAACTGATATTGTTGATGATATGAAGCAATTTGGAGCAGGGGTGGAAGCATTGTGGGAAGCCAATGGAGGGAGGGGAGGAACTGGGAATGGGGTAGACAATTGAAAGAATGAAATGATTTAATTTTACATGTTGTATTCCTGAAAATAAAATTTGTTTACCAAAAAAAAAAAAAAAACAAAGTCATATTTTATGCTCCTAAAGTAACAGAATGACTTTCAATCTGGAAAAGAAAAAAAGTGCTAATGTAGCAAAAAATTTTTCCAAATTTTTCCAAAAATTTCTGTTTTCCCTGGGAAAAAAAACGGGAAAAAACCAGGGGTTTTTTCTGGGCTTCAAAACTTCCAGAAATCTTACATTTCTAAACAGAGCTCAGAAACTCTTTCGACCCTAAACCTGTTGCCAAGCGACTTAATTTCGCCTCCCCGAGTTCTATACTGCTTGAGTTGTTCACAGTCCCTATTTTCTCGGACAGTGGGGTGCCCTGGACAGGCGCCCCCTCCCCCACTCCCGAAGGGGAGTTCACAGGGTCGGGTCGGGACCCCTGGCTGTTCCAGATTTGGGGGGGAGGGAGCATGACGCAGCCCTTCCTCGAGGAAAGCAGCTGCAACTGAGTCACCCCTTGCTGACTGGAGGCCGGCGGAGGGCGTGTCGCTGAGCAGGCAGCTGGACACGTGCGGGGAAGAGGCGCATGACTGCACACATGCCCTGCATGAATGAGCACAGCCCGGCCAGGAGGGAAGCCAGCAAGTGATCTGAACGGCTCAGGAGCTTTGCACTGAAGGGATGAGCTGACCCTCCACCCCAATGCTCAAGACAAAGCAACGCCACCCTGGGGATGCCTGCCATTCCGGAATTCTCCTTTCTCCCCTTCCTTCTTGCCCGTGCTTCCAGCTTTCAGCTCTGGGAGGCCTAGTGCAAATTCTGCACTTTGTGCAATTTTTTGGCACCTTGCAGAGAAAGCATAGAAGCGGATAGTGGGAAAGGGAGGTCATCTAGTCCAACCCCCTGCTCAAAGCAGGAAATGCTTTCTCCCCTTCCTGTCCTCCCAAGCCTCCGTTCCACTGCCCTACCAGGCAGGGGACCCACACCTGTTAATGCCCTTTGCCGCCTTTCACCTACACTCCAGCCTGTTTTTATGTGACGAAGGGAGCCTGAACTCTTGTTAGTCTCTAAGGTGCTACAGGACTCGAGGCTAACTGAACTACTGTGGACCAACTGGGCTACCCACTGTCTTTATTTGTCACCCTGGAACAGCTGCCGTTTCTGATACCTGTAGAAATTCTGGATGGTGCTTTCTGTTAATTGCTTTTACTTGTCGCAGGGGGGAGGCAGCCTAGGAAAACGGTCTCGTCTCCCCCCCCAACTGCACTTGACAAGATTTATGGGCCACACAGAGGGATGAAGGAGGGGTCTGGAAACCAGCTGCCCCTCCTCGGAAGTAATTCCAGATTTACTGTGTCATATTATAGACAACACTCTGCAAGGGGGGGGGGGATGAGGGGAAAGGCCCCCCCCCCCCCCCCCCCGCCGCAGACTGCTCCAGAAGTGAAGGAAAGCAGGCGTGAGACATCAGAGCCCCCAGGCAGCTGTGGGAGGGGGAGGGGCCGCCTTTCGCAGGGCCTTACGCAACCTCCCCCCTGGGGCAGAAACTCTTACATAAACAGTTGGCTGCAGGTCCCTTCGCTGGAGCCTCTGCAGCTGATCAGAGCCCCAAAGAAGGAGACAGACGGAGCCCACCCTCCAAGCCTCCGGGAGGTCCGCCCCGGCAAGAGCAGGCAGGGACCCCCCCCCTCCAGATGAGTCCCCCCCCCGCTCCTGGGTGGAGAAAAGGAGAGGGAGCGAAGCAGTGTTCCCTCTAAGCTGAGCTTTAGTACCTCTGGATGTGGACGTTCCCCTCAGTCACTATGGCTAGTAGCCACTGATAGACCTCTCCTCCTCCACTAATCCCCTTTTCGAGATGTTTATTGCTGTGGCCATCACTACGATCTCTGGCGGCAAATCCCACACTTCAATCACCCTCTGCGTGAAGTAGTCTTTCCTTTCATCCATCCTGAACCTACTGCCCGTCAGCTTCTCAAGTAATAGTATTTGGGGGGAGGGAGAGACATTTCTCTTCCCCCACTCTCTCCGCACCATGCATCATTTTATAGACCTCTATCATGTCGTCGTCCTCATTTATTCTCCCGCCCCCCCCCTTCCCTCTACTGGACTTGACTCAGCTTAAAAGCTGGTCCAGAGGTTATTTTAAAAGTCCCACCTTCCTGTCTCTCTTCCACCCACTTCGTACACGGGGGGGGGGATCTCCCCAACGAGAAGGCTCTACCGTTCCCACACCAGACTGCCCTTAGAAGGTCACTGAGTTCAGCCCCGCAGGTTCACCCTGCTCATGGTAGAGCCACACGGCGGAAGAGACGGGGAAAAGACGGATGTGATTCCCAGCCCCCCACCCACCCCGAACTAGCCCACGGCACAGGACTCACCTCTGTCAAAGCGGCCCATCCTCAGCCTGCCCAGAAGCTCCTGGAGTGGAAGGATGAAGCCTTGGAGTTCCCGACACTGCAGAGAGGGGACAAGGGTTGAGAGAAGTCAGTCAGGCAAGCACACTGGAGGTTTACATAGGAACATAAGAGAGAAGCCACTGTTGGTTCAGGCCAGTGGCCCATCCAGTCCAACACTCTTTGTCACACAGTGGCCAAAAATACCAGTTGCCCTCAGGAGGTCCAGCAGTGGGGCCAGGACACTAGAAGCCCTCCCACTGTTGACCCCCCCCCAAGCACCAAGAAGACAGAGCATACCTTGCCCCAGACCGAGAGTTCCTATCTATAAGAACCTAAGAGGAGCCAGTGTTGGATCAGGCCAGTGGCCCATCCAGTCCAACACTCTGTGTCACACAGTGGCCAAAAATACCAGGGACCATCAGGAGGTCCAGCAGTGGGGCCGGGACACCAGAAGCCCTCCCACTGTTGACACCCCCCCAAGCACCAAGAATACAGAGCATCCCTTGCCCCAGACCGAGAGTTCCTACCTATGCCTTGTGGCTAAGAGCCACTGACGGACCTCTGCTCTTAACATAAGAACGTAAGAGAGAAGCCAATGCTGGATCAGGCCAATGGCCCATCCAGCCCAACGCTCTGTGTCACACCGTGGCCAAAAGTACCAGGTGCCATCAGGAGGTCCAGCATTGGGGCCAGGACACTAGAAGCCCTCCCACTGTTGCCCCCCACCCCCAAGAATACAGAGCATCCCTTGCCCCAGACAAAGAAGAAGAGATTGAATTTATGCTCCGCCCTTCACTACCCAAAGGAGTCTCAGAGCGGCCCACAAACGCCTTTCCCTTCCCCTCCCAAGAAACCGAACAGAAATAAATCATTTTTTAGTTACTAGCAAGCATTTTATATAAAAACCTACTGCTGGATTTATAAGGAATATCTTTTTCGGTCACTCAATCTCAGGCAGAGGTCTTTCCCATCACCTCCTGCCTAGTCCTTTTAACTGGAGATGCTGCCAGGGATTGAACCTGGGACCTTCTGCATGCCAAGCAGAGGCTCTGCCACTGAGCCACAGCCCCTCTTTACAGCTCTCCAGGGACTCCAGCAGAGGTCTTTCCCATCACCTCCTGCCTGGTCCTTTTAACTGGAGATGCTGGGGACTGAACCTGGGACCTTCTGCATGCCAAGCAGATGCCTGCCACTGAGCCACAGCCCCTCTTTACAGCTCTCCAGCGGAGGTCTTTCCCATCACCTCCTGCCTGGTCCTTTTTAGCTGGAGATGCCAGGGATTGAACTGGGGACCTTCTGCATGCCAAGCAGAGGCTCCACCACTGAGCCATGGCCCCTCTTTACAGCTTTCCTGGGTCTCAGGCAGAGGTCTTTCCCATCACCTCCTGCCTGGTCCTTTTAACTGGAGATGCCAGGGATTGAACCTGTGACCTTCTGCATGCCAAGCAAAGGCTCTTCCACTGAGCCACAGCCCCTCTTTACAGCTCTCCAAGGTCTCAGGCAGAGGTCTTTCACATCATGTACTGCCTGGTCCTTTCAACTGGAGATGCTGCCAGGGATTGAACCTGGGACCCTCTGCATGCCAAGCAGAGGCTCTACGACTAAACCACGGCCCCTTCCACCACCCAGAGATTCCCAGGTGTGGCTATGCAGAGAATAGGCAAGAACTGTAGGCCCTTCCAAATGTCCTCCACAGATTTACCCATTCCCAGAGTACTTTGATCCAAGTGTGAGACAGATTCATTTCCTGTTTTTCTGGAAGTCCAATGCAGTACTGCTGTTCATGGGTCAGCATGCTTTTCAAAAGTTCCCTTCCCGTTTTTGAAATCTTGGGTAACAACTATGCAAAAACCCATATAAAGTGCTTTTTCTAAAATCTCAATGTAATTTTAATTAAAAAGACATTAACTACATAAGAGTAGAAGGAACTATGGTATTTATGCAAATGCAAAACTAGGTTTTTGTTTTATTCACTCCCAGGATGATCAACAAATAGAGATGTGAAAGCCCCGGGGGGCGGGGTGGAATTGGGAAGCCGAGGAGCACTAAAAACCAAGTCCTGTGAAATATTCTCTCTTTCGGAATGAGTGAAGCACTTAACACAAGGTTTCTCTCACTCAAGAGACAGAGCCTGAAAAAGTCCCTGATTTTTAAACTCTTCCGGGGGGGGGGGGGGGAGGGGGGGGATCAGGAAATTTGGGGAATACTAAAATGCTCCAGTGATTATCTTTTTACTTTCGGAATGAGTAAAGTAAAAAACATTTTACTCAAAGTATGCAGACTGAAAATTTTAATGTTAAAAAAGGATCAATGGTATCAGACCATTCTTAGACATATACTGTGGCCATACAAGAACTTTTAGTTTAAAGAGAAATAATTGTGGCAACAATATAATACCCAGTGTTATTATAATCTAATCTTAGTTATAATCTAATCTTAGATACGCCATTTTGATGAAAGATTTTGTTTAGAACATCTGGAGCACTTAATATGTTTTCTGTAATTTTTGTAATTTTGTAACAATGGTTTTATGGTTTTAACTGTTATATGTGCGGCGTATGCCTGCCTAATTGTGAGACGCCCTGAGCCTGCATTGCGGGGAGGGAGGGCTATAAATTGAAATTATAAATGAATAATATAATATGTTTAAGAATACATTATGAAAGGGTTCACTATTTTCCATGTTATAAAGTTTAACTTTACGTACAGATACGCCCACGGTCCTATCTATTGTAACAGAATGAGAGTTCAGATACTATGCTTTTGTTCAGCATGGAATTCGTTTTCTGTCTTCAAATTTTTACTTCTCTTGTCTTTCAAATGTCAAAAACTATTCTATAGGTACTACGGTCACATAAGAAGCAGCCGTTGGCAACTCTTCCATTGTACTGGGTATACTTCCGATTTCTTATATGGAAAATGAAAACGTGATGTGCCAAACGTTATATGTTAGTTATATTATAACCACTGCGTTTTATGTATTTAAACCAGTAAGCTAAATTTAAGGTTGATAGGAAAGTTAAACACTTCGTAGATTTCAAATTTTGACGGTATTTCCATTAAACTCTCTCCCCCACCCCCAATACAAGAAGTTAATTCCATGTCGATTCAAAATTCTTGGAATTTTTATTTTGGAAATCATACCATACTGAGTTCTTTGATGATGTATTCCTAAACATATTACAGTATGCTATTGCCAGCACATTAACTTGCTTTATAGACTTTATAGAGAGCCAGTTTGGTGTAGTGGTTAAAATGTGTGGACTCTAATCTGGGAGAACCAAGTTTGACTCCCCACTATTCCACCTGCACTTGGCTGGATGACCTTGGGCAAGCCATAGTTCTGACAAGAGCTGTCCTTGAAAAAGAGCAGTTTCTGTCAGAGCTCTCTCAGCCGTGCCTACCTCACAGGGTGTCTGCTGTGGGGAGGGGAAGGGAAAGGAGATTGTAAGCCGCTCTGAGACTCCCTTGGGTAGTGAAGGGCGGGGTATAAATCTAATCTCTTCTTCTTTTCTTCTTCTATTTGTATTTTGGTTTTATAGTTATGCTGTTAACCGCACTGAGCCAATTACCGGAGAAAAGGAGGACCAAACATAGAAGTAAATAAATAAATGATACTCCTATGGAAACCAACTAACCTTTTGTGCAAACAGTTGATCTCCTTCAGTCCAGCCGAGGGTGCACGGATCCGCTCCGGCCGCCAGCTCCTTGCTCCGATACCTCTTGACCCCCGCCAGGGAGGAATGCACTGCACGTCCCAGGGGCTGGCCCCCTCCCACGGCACTGCTGGGCCGTTTGCGCCCTCCGCTCTCCACCCTCCTCTGGTTCGCTGCCTTCCTGGGCAACCCGCTGTCTGCATCCCTCAAGCGGGCGCAGTAGGATTCTTCCGGTGCCGCGGGGTAACGGCAATAGTGACTGGCAGGCCGCAGCCGGGCTGAAGTCAACCTGCCAAGAGGCCTCCGGCCCTGGCCAGGCAAGCTCAGATTAGTCCGCTTGGATCTCGGGGTGTTTCGAAAGCTCTGCTCATCCGGGTAAGCGCCCGGCCGACTCCTCAAAGGACCCACCGCCTTCTCTGCATCGCTGCTGCTGCTGTCTGAAAGGAAGACCTCGAAGTTGGCGCAGGGCTCATCCTCCTCTTCTTCACTGGTGGTGCTGTCCACAGAATAGAGGGACTCGCGGGACGAGACACTGGTGGAGGAGTCCATGGTTGCCATAAAGGTGCACGGCCTGGAGAGAGAGAGCAAAATTGGCTTAATGAGTGGCTACGCCAGGGGTCCCTAACCTTTTTGAGCTTGTGGGCACCTCTGGGATCCATTCCTGACACAGCGTGCTTGGCGGAGCCACCACATGGCTGCCACAGCGACGTCTTTTTAAAAAATCTGCAAAGCCATTCAAAAGCCTTGCTGGGCAAAACCTCACCTGCCACCACCTTTTTGGTTTTTTCCCGAAAAATTGGAAAAAGAAAAGAAAAAAAATTGATTATGGACCATTTTATTTTAACATGATGAATAAAATATTTTAAGACATGGTGTTCAGATATTTTCCAAATAGGGTATCAGATTGAACTAATTTCTGTGCCCTGAGGACAAGCAAGTCCTAGGTTACAAACTGAACTCTCCAATGCAAGAACAAGATGCATTTCTTCCCTTTAGGAGGTGCGATTGTCAGAAGAAAAGAAAAAGGTTTCAGGTTTGTTTTTGCATGTGGGTGGGTATTCTGTTTGTAATAATTGTTCGGATACACAATATTTTTAATATGCTAGTTATGATAATTTCATGCCAAGTAAAAATGTCCATAGTCATATTTTATGTTCCTAAAGTAACAGAATGACTTTCAATCTAGAAAAGAAAAAAGAAGTGCTAATGTAGCCTTTTTTTCAATATTTCCGAAAATTTCTGTTTTTTTCCTGAAAAAAACAGGGAAAAACTCGGGTTTTTTTTCAAGCTTCAAAAATTCCAGAAATTTTACATCTCTAGTCCCGCCCCCTGCACAATGCAGGAAATTCACAAATGCCTCCCCCCCACACACACACCCAGACCCAGTGACCCCTGCTCCATGCCCAGAAGATGGCAAAAACAACTCCAGGATCCCCGGCCAAACGGGCCTGGAAAAAAATGGCTTCCTGACCCCAAAGTGAAGATCGGCATTTCCTTGGGCGTGCCAGAAAGGGCCATGAGAACTGAGCACTGAGGCAACCCTCCCTCTCGTGATCGGCCTCCGTTCACAGAATCCGGATTGCTGTCAGATGGCTATCTAGCACCCACGGGCTTATCCACCGTAATCTCCCAAGAAAACCAAACCCTACAACTGGTATCATGGAGAATGCAAATTAAACCAACTGGCCTTTGTTATTTCACATGACAGACAGTGAAACCTCCACCAGCGCGTAGAGGGTTCTGTGGTTTCACCAGATGTTATGCCGACACTCCTCCATGAGCACTAGAATCTTTCTTCAAAAAACAAAACAAAGCGGGTGCCGGAATGGTTCTGCGCTCCCTACCAAAAGGGGAACTTTCCGCGCGCTTGCGGAGCCGTGGCCCAGGGCAGGCCCCGGTCAGACCCCGCCAAGGTGCCCTGTGATGGCTGAAAGATGACCTCATTGGCTCAAGCCTGACATTTGGGAAGCAAATCACATCGCAGGGGCTGGGAGCTTTACTTTTTTTAATCTAAGAATGAGATAAGTGACCACCAGTACAACTGCAGGCTTCCACGGAGATAGCACATTACTGTATTTTGGATTGTTGTGTTATGGATTTTATGAAGTTGCATTGCGTCAATGCATCGGTGTTTTCATATTTTAACTCTTAACGGAAGCCGCCCTGAGCCTGCCTCGGCGGGGAAGGCTGGATAGAAATTGAATTAAAGAAATAAAGAAATAGATGGAGTGAGCTCCCGTCTCTATTTCCAGCTCCTGCCAACCTAGCCGTTCGAAAGCAAGAGATTGCAAGGAGATAAATAGGTGCCACTTCGGTGCGGAGGTAACAGCGTTCTGTGCGCCTTGGTGTTTAGTCATGCCGGCCACATGACCACGAAAACGTCTTCGGACAGCGCTGGCTCTTCGGCTTTGAAACGGAGATGAGCACCGCAACCCTAGAGTCGGATTTGCCTAGCTTTCGAGCAAGGGAACCTTTACCTTTTACCAGCAGAAAAGAGCAAGAGTCCAATTAGTCTTATGTTGGGAGAAGGAGATTGGATTTATACCCCGCCCTTCACTACCCAAAGGAGTCTCAGAGCGGCTTGCAAACTCCTTTCCCTTCCCCTCCCCACAACAGACACCCTGCGAGGTAGGCAGGGCTGAGCGAGCTCTAACAGAACTCTTTTCCCAAGTACAGCTCTGACAGAACTGTGGCTTGCCCAAGGTCATCCAGCAGGTGCAAGTGGAGGAGTGGGGAATGAAACCTGGTTCTCCCAGATTAGAGTCCGCGCACTTCACCACGACACCAAACTGGCTCTCCCCCGACACAAATTTGGTTAGTCTTTAAAGTGCTGCTGGACTCTAGCTCTTTCCGACTGCTACGGGCTTATTACCTTTATATAACTGAATCTTACATAAGCCAATACTACAAGGCAAAACACAACCCCACGCCCTCTGCCTAACTCCTGTAATCCCATTACCAAACTCTGGGACTCTTCTTATATTTTGAACGATCGTCTTCCTTCGCCTTCCCGATCTCTCAACGCACAAAGCCGTCAGACCGATGCCAAATGTCTGATGATAACCTTTGCCGATACCCCAGTACAATGCGAATAACTTCCGGGATTTTGCAAACTTAGCAGCAAGACTGGCCCATATGAATCCACGTGTCCCTATACAAAGAGCTCTTTTGTCCAGATGTACCAATCCACTCTTGCTGTAACCAGTGTTCCCTCTAAGCTGAGTGAGTGTGAGCTAGCTCACCGTTTTTTAGCCTCCGGCTCACACATTCTTGTCTTCGCTCAGGAAGGAGGGCTCCAGAGCAAACTGATTTATGCAGTAGCCAAATGCAGTTGTGAGCTCGCTCACAACTTTAATGCCAGTAGCTCGACAGCTTAGAGGGAACTCGACAGCTTAGAGGGAACATTGGCTGTAACCCCACGGGGTGGAAGAGAGGGGGGCACAGCCCTCCGCTGCAGGGTTGGAGAGGGGACAACCACACCCTCCCAGCGACCGCACCCCAGCCTCCCCAACTAAGCCCTCCTCTTAGAATCATAGAACGTTAGAGTTGGAAGGGACCTTGCAGGTCATCTAGTCCACCCCCCCCCCGCACTCCGCAGGAGTGGACAGAGCTGTGCCCCCGTCACCCCCCACTACTCCACGAGGGCCACCGAGGCTCAAAGGTGTTGCAACCGGTTCACAAGACACTGAGTCAGCGCACGGATCCAGCAGCAGCTGGTGAGCACCTCGCCTCTGCCAGCCGCTAAAACAGGTAATTAAATATCGCTCCCTCACTTATGTGCCAGAGGGCAAGGGCAAAATCCTGCCTTCCTGGATCTGGGTTACAGGAAGCAGGTGGCTACGGGCTGGTTTGCCTGTCCCTAGCTTGTGGTAACTCAGGTATATCCCCCTTGCACACGGAGGCTCTCCATTTGGTATGTCACTGTTTAGTAAATGTCCCATCCTGTTGGAACGCATTGGCCCGCTCTGCGTCATCCTCCTTGGGCCGCAGCGAGGAAGGGCAGATTATAACGTAAATAAATAAAACAAGAGATCTAGTGGTCTCGTCCGCCCAGGGCCCTGGGGGCTCGGCAACTGCCATTTCAGAACCACGGAGCCTTAGACAGAGACACGGAAACGTGCATGTTGAATCGGGCCAGGGACTGGACACTGGAACCCTTCCAACCTTTGCGCGAATAGCTAAGCCTCTTCCTCCGCCACCCCAACACCCCTCTTCCCCAAAACGTACCAGGCAGTAGGTGATGTGAAAGACCTCTCCCTAAGGCCACGAAGAGGGGCCGTGGCTCAGTGGTAGAGCATCTGCTTGGCATGCAGAAGGCTCCGGGTCCAATCCTTGGCATCTCCCATTAAAACGACCAGGCAATAGGTGATGGGAAAGACCTCAAGCCAGAGACCCTGGAGAGTCACATGGAGAGGGGCCATAGCTCAGTGGAAGAGCCTCTGCTTGGCATGCAGAAGGTCCCAGGTTCAATCCCCAGTGTCCCCGTTAAAAGGACCAGGCAGTAGATGAGATGAAAGATGTCAGCTTGAGACCCTGTACAGCCAATGCCAATCTGGGTAGACAACACTGACTTTGATGGGCTGAGGGCCTGATTCAGTATCAGGCAGCGCCAGAGTGCTTCAGCACTTTCAATAGCTTTACCCACCTTGCAGGGTTGTCGTGAGGACAAAATAAAGTGAGGGAGAAAAAAATGGGGGGGGGAGACAGAGCTGCTATGAAAAAGAACTGGGTAAAAAAGTCCCGCGCATACATCACGTGGAATTCTGACACCTGTTAAGGAGAGACGTTCCACCTGTAAAAATTCCCTTTCCACGCTACTATTAAAAGCTTAAGAGCTTCTCATCAGATGGGACCTTGTCACACATAGAGGAGAAAAGTTGCAGCGGCGAAAAATTCCCTTGCTGCCCTACTATTAAAAGCTGAAGACCTTGCATTGACTTCTCCTTTTGAACGGGGAGGAAAAGAGACAGATGAAGTCGGACTGGGAGTACGCGAACCTCATTTCAGAACTCCGCCACAGGCCCACCTGTTGCGCATGCTTCGGCACATGGGAAGCACACGACAAGCCCACAACCGCGAGGAATTCCTGGCTCAGGGAAACCACCGCTCAGCTCCCAGCCGCGCTAGGCGCACGAATCACGCGCATGAATGCAAGGGGCCAGGAATTTGGAGCGCATGGATTCCCGGCACACGCTTGCGCTTCACACCTTAGGACAGCAGGCCACGCACTCCACCTGCCCCCACAGTCACATGCTGCCTACACACCCATTCACGAGCCTCGCCGGATCCTGCATCCATCTGCTCATGCGCGCGTGCACACTGCATCCAAGTCGCTAAGACTATTAAATATTTCAGATGCTCATATGACTTCCACGGAGCCCACATGGCAGACAAGTGTGCGCTTGTCTGCACGCCCACTCGCCGATTTCCACCACCAGAATCCACCTGGCAGACTGTTTAATGCGCACACCTGCAACCCTGGCCTGGTGCACACCTGGATCCGGGGACACCGCGCATCCCAGCCTCTCCACATTCCGTGTTGCAAGGCCCATAGGGAGGGAACTCCCAAACCTCCCACAACCTGCTGGCGCCTCTCACACAATCACATGCTCCCTTGCGTCCTCGAGTCATTCATTCATCTCCCAGCAGATCCAGAGCATGAGAGCCATTAATCGCCACCGCAAAGGGAAGCCCTTCCCTACCTGAGGAAAGCCGCACACCACACTCTGAAAGGGACACCTCCCAAACTTAATTTCCTCCTCCACCAAGAAACAAAACACCCGTCCCCGGCACCCTGCCCCAGAACATCGGCATCTCCAACACAACGTGGGAGGCTGAAACCAAATTTTATTTCCTTAAAAATAAATAATTCCGGAATTGGTTACCATATTGAAAGAAGAAAAATGTGTCGTGGAAACTGCAGCTGAAACTGCAACCCCCATCTACGGAGCCTTACAAGCAAGAGGCAAATGGGCACATGGCTTGCCATGGTCTTCGTCCACAGAGCAACGCACGTCTTCCTTGGTGGCAGTGTTCCCTCTAAGCTGAGTTTGGTGTGAGCTAGCTCACAGGTTCTTTAGCCTCCGACTCACACATTTTTGCCTTAGCTGAGGAAGGAGGGCTCCAGAGCAGACGAATTTATGCAGCAGCCAAATCACTGACTCACAGTTTTAAGAACTGGGGCAGACCACACCTAGCTTCCAGGATCCGGACGGGGTCAAGCTAGCCTCGGCCATCCAGGTCAGGGGAAGAGATGGAAAGAGGTGGTTTGCCACGGCCTGCCTCTGCGTTGAGACCCTGGGCCTCCTTGCCGGTCTCCCTTCCACGTACTAACCACGGGTGACCCTGCTCGGCTTCCAGGCTAAACTGGTCTTTTCACGCTGCTATGATACATTACGGTGAAAAGTTTCCTTTGAATTCCTTACCCTCAGCTTAGGGTGGGTGAAGCTCGAACGGCCCGATCCTGTCTACTCAGACCTTCGTTCAATCACACTTCGGCTTTCGGTCCTCAACCCATTCTCTTGAAAGCAAATCCTTTTCGCCCAGCAGAAAAGAGCAGGGATCCAGGAGCACCTTAAAGACTAAAAAAACTCGTGGCAAGCAAGGAGCTTTTGCGAGTCACTGGCTCACTTCTTCACCATGTCTTACTCACGAGGAAGTGACTCGTGGAAGATCTATAGGGGAAGATCTCAAAAGAGTTCCCCAGTGGATGTCTCCAAAGCAGGCAGATAACACAAGGCAAGAGGCTGCTACCAGTTCCGAGTGCGGGTTCTAAGCTGGGAGAACCGGGTTTGATTCCCCACTCCTCCTCCACATGCAGCCAGCTGGGTGACCTTGGATCAGTCACAAGTTCTCTCAAAGCTGTTCTCTCAAGAGCAGTCCTCAAGAGAGCTCTCTCAGCCCCACCTACCTCACAGTTTGGTGTAGCGGCTCAGTGCGCGGACTCTAACCTGAGAGAACCGGGTTTGATTCCCCACTCCTCCACTTCCACCTGGCTGGATGACCTTGGGCAAGCCGTAGTTCTGATAAGAGGTTTTCTTGAAAAAAGAGCAGTTTCTGTCAGAGCTATCTCAGCCCCACCTGCCTCGCAGGGTGTCTGTTGTGCGGAGGGGAAGGGAAAGGAGTTTTTGTAAGCCGCTCTGAGACACCTCCTTGAAGGGCGGGGTATAAATCCTATCTCTTCTTCTTCTTCTACAGGGTGTCTGTTGTGGGGAGGGGAAGGGAGATTGTAGGGCGCTCTGAGACTCCTTCGGGCAGAGAAGGGCGGGGCATAGATCCAATTTGTTCTTCTCCTTCTACCCTTCCCAAACTTCCTCAGAATTACAGCTTGTTCCTAAGTAAACACGCATGGGAGTTGCTACAGAATGTCCTGCCCTGAGAAATGTTCTAGTTAAAGAAGAACCCAATGTTCTAGTTAAAGAAGGACAAAGAGTTCTAGACATCTGAGTAACTGATGACTCCTGCAAACTTGAAGCATCTCAGGTGTTCTGGACTCGAATCTAGTGGCTCCATCAGTGTGGCACTTTAAGCAGCGGGAACATTAACGATGAGGGGACCACAGAAAGGACTGTGGGAAAAGGCTGTAGAGGGGGGGTCTCGGGGGGTCCCAGGAAGCCAGCACGGTTCAAATCCTCCCTCTGCCATGGAAGCCGGCTGGGTGACTTTGGGCCAGTCACACCCCTCTCACCCTAACCTACTCCGCAAGGCTGTTGTGAGGATAAACAGAAAAGCGGATGCCGTAAAGCGCTTTGAGTCCCCATGGGGGGGGGGGAAGACAAGATATAAAGAAAACAAGCAAAAAGTCGGCCAAAGACTATAGGGGCAAGGCAGTCGACCAACGGCATCCTACCAATGCCTCCTCTGATGAAAATCCCTCAGGGTGTACCCCAAAGGAAACGTGTCTAGCACTGCATTGCAGGCTTACTAACCTCTGCAGACAGTAAAGGTAAAGGTTCCCTTGCTCGAAAGCCAGTCGAATCCGACTCCTGGGCAATGTTCCCTCTAAGCTGTGGAGTCTCGTGAGCAAAAATTCTCCTCTGTGAGCTCCTGGCATTCAAGTTGTGAGCGAGCGATTGGGCTACTGTGTAAATTAGTCTGCTCTGGAGCCCTCCTTCCTGAGCTGAGGCAAAAATATGTGAGCTGGAGGTTAAAAAACTATGAGCTAGCTCACACTAACTCAGCTTAGAGGGAACACTGCTCCTGGGTTGCGGTGCTCATCTCCGTTTCAAAGCCGAAGAGCCAGCGCTGTCTGAAGAGGTTTCCGTGGTCATGTGGCCGGCATGACTAGACACCAAGGCGCACGGAACGCTGTTACCTCCCCACCGAAGTGGTCCCTATTTATCTACTTGCAATTTCTTGCTTTCGAACTGCTGGGTTGGCAGGAGCTGGAACTGGAGATGGGAGCTCACTCCATCATGCGGCACCCGGGTCTCGAACTGCTGAACTACCGACCTTCCACAGCCTGCAGTTCAGCGTCTTAACCACTTGAGCCACCGCAGCTCCATCTGCAGACAGTAGAGCATTTCAATAGTGTCAGAAAAAAAAATGCACAAGCCAGAGCCGGGAAGCTGCCGGTAGAAAGAAGGTTGGTTGTCTGCCTGGTCACCTGGAGACCATTCCCAACTCACCCTAGGCGAGCGGCCGGTTCCTAGCCCGCAGGACCCACCCCCCCCCCCCCCATTCGAAAGTTTTCTCCACCACATTAGGTCCAACGGGGGCGAGAACTTCCTCCCCCTGCCCCACTCCGCTCCCCCGCGGAAGGAAGGCTGCCCAGGAACTTGGTCAGACGCCGCCCCAAAGGACGCAAAAGAAGCCCCCCGGAAAAGACGCGTGTCGATTCAGATCCCCCAGTGGGGGCTCAGACAAGCGGGCTTCGGAGGCCCCGGAAGCGCAGGCGAGGGACCCCCGCCTTCCCTTCCACGCGTTTAACCGGGGCGTCCCACCCACCCCCGGGAAAAAGACCCCAAACCCCAAATAACGACAGTTACCCCAAACACGTGTTTCCAAGAGACCGTCCTCACGTCACTCGCGGTCCCTTGCAAGCTTGCGGAATGTCGCCGGCTCTCTCCGAGGGTCCCGCACCGATGCTGACGGCCGCCCG